TGATGGTGGCGGCGGTGGTGGTGGTGACAGTGATGATGGTGGTGGTGGTGGCGGTGATGATAGTGATGGTGGTGGTGGTGATGATAATGGTGATGGTGATGATATGATGGTGATGATTATGATGATGATGATTAGAGATGGTAGGACCCAGAACTCAGGTAGGAGGGGCTATCTATCTGTAGGGTGCTCATTCTAACACTGTTGGTGAAACTCTTAGGAACTAGTTACCTCCAGCAGAACCCCAGATAGTAGTCATTAAGAATTTCAGAAACCATTCTGATGATTTCCCTCCAAATACAGGAAACACCACTTCCGTCGTCCCTGGGAATGCCCCGGTCAGCAGAGATGGTGGTCTTCAGTGAAGGCCCTGAGCACCCTTACTTTCTGATACTTTGTAATTTGTGCTGTGGTTTATCCTACAGATTAGTCAGAAGAAGTTGAAAAAATATGAAAAAGAATACCATACCATGAGGGAACAGCAGGCCCAACAGGAAGACCCCATCGAACGATTTGAGGTTGGTTTGCTTATGGCCTACATGACGTGAAGAGCGGTCAGCCTTTCATCCCAGATAATCGTGCCTGTAACTAGCTTTATTGAGTTCTTTTTAAAATTCAGTTCACTGTTTCTAGTTCAGGTCTCAGTTTGAGTGTGCAAATGAGAAAACAAGTTTGTTTTGCTTGCAGCCAGCTGCATAGTTTGTTACACTTCAGTGGCCTTTCGGCCCAGTTAATAAGAAGTAGCTGCTTGACAAGGTCACTTGAATCAGTTAATTATTTCTCTTTGGAGATAGAACATGAGGAATTATTGATTGGTAGCACATTAGAACCAGCCACGTCTCCACAGTTTCCAGAGGACTCAAAGTAGTTTTGAGGGTTAGCCCTGAGAAATTGTCTTTTTCATCTGATTTTCTTGTGTCTCTGACTGGTGTCTTTATTCTTCAGAGGGAGAATAGGCGTCTACAAGAAGCTAACATGAGATTGGAACAGGAAAATGATGACTTAGCGCATGAGCTGGTGACCAGCAAGATCGCACTGCGGAAGGACCTGGATAACGTAAGCCTGACTCATCTGAAAGGCTGGGTTCTGTTACACACCTAACTTCTCCCTTAGTCAAGTGAAATCCTTGCATTTTAGTGTTTGTTGTCCTAGTTAGTTACCTGCCTCTTGTGATACAGCTGGCCCTGGGCAGCATCTTCCTCCTTTCCTTCAAGGATTATCAATTACCCCGGGAAGCCTTCCTTACCACTTTCTTCGCTCATTACACACATAGTCCTTGACCTTTCCGAACACTTTTTGATGGAGAGACCTTTTGGCTAATTCTTAAGCTATCACAATTGGCGGTAGCATTTAATCATGATGATTTTCTTTATTTTTTTAAAGATTTTATTGGGGAATTGGAGAGGAACAGTGTTGGGAAATTGGGGAAGGGGAACAGCCAAGTTGCTGTCCTTTTGTTCTTCAGTCTAGTTGTGGAGGCCGTTGCTTCACTGGCCCAAGTTGGTATTATCATTGCGCTCTTCCCAGGTGAGGCAGATCGGTCGCCGGCCATAGGACAGCCGCTCACAGCGGCACACGGCAGCTCACAGCAACCCAGCTCCAGGTTGAGCTGTTGTTCACCATCTTAGCTGTAGAGGGTGGTGTCACTGGCCCTGATGTGGGATCCAAACTGGGGCCCTGCTGCTCAGAGCTTGCGCTCCCAAGCCAACTCTTAACCACCGAGCCACTTGGCTGGCCCTCATGATGATTTTCTTAATTTCTCCCTAAAACAAAAGAGATTTTGTTACCTTGTATATCATGTGCCTTTGAGTAAGCACTGCTGATTGTAATAGCTTAGTGCTTCAGGAGCTTGACTTCATCAGTAGTTTCTGTCAGCAGATGTTCTGTTTTTCTTTGCTTTTCCTAGTCTTAGAAAGTTGCAATGGTGGCTTTCCTGGCAGGGTGTTTATCCATTTTCTATACGACAAGGAAGTGTAGTCTCTCATTCATGGTTTAGGTCAGAGGTTGGCAGACTTTTTCTGTGAAGGGATAGATAGTAAATATTGTAGGTTCTGTGGACCACATGGTCTTGGTTGCAACTGTTTGACTCTGCCACTGGCTCAGCAGTAGCCGCAGACAATAAGGAGACGGACGAGCACAGCTGCGTTCTAGCGAAACCTTCTTTACAAGAGCTGGTGGCACGGGCCGCAGCCCCTGCCTTGGATTTTCCTGTCAGGCTCCGAAGCTCACTTTTCTGCTCACTGCTTTCCTGAGGTTCTAAAAATGGGTTCAGGCTGCTGGGGGAACTTACGTGATATATCGAACCCACAGGATCTGTGACTTCACAGGGTCCCCGACTTCCACCAAATGTGTGTGAAAATACTATGCACTGCTGTTTCTTTGAAAGTCTCCGCTTTCTCCAAGTGGCTCACATGTCAGATGAGAGAGAGAGACAGCAATATCTACTGGTCCTTGTTACTTCTCTTTAGAAGTAGAAAAATGGAGTAAAAAATTTTTAACAGACCTGGATTCTAATACCACCTACTCCATTTTCAAGTACAGAAAAACATGGGCGGTAGAATAATGACTATGCCCCAGGGTGCAGTGAGACTCACTTGATTTGGTGTATATGAAAAGCACCACCATCCCAAAAAAGACAGAGTAAGCACAGGCCGTGTCGGTCCCGTCTGTTTGTCTGATTGTCAGCTACAAACAGCCGCATGTAAGAGGGAAGGCTGCCTTTCCCAGTTTCTGCAGGGAGGGTGTTTGAAGGTCGTTAGCCCTCAGTAACCAGAACCTGGAGACCTTGCTGCTGTTTGGTTTACCACAGTCTGCTCATCAGGTTTGCGTCTCCTCCCTATGGTGCAGATTCCCAGCATCCCCCATCTGCCTGCTTTGTAAAAACTACAGGAATCATCCCTCACGGATCAGGCGTTTCTGCCGAGTGAGTGGAGTGAGGCTGGTGTCCACAAGCAGGGCCACTGAAGTAGGGCTTGTGCCCCCTGAGTGGCTCTCAGTGGTGTAGATCCTGCAGAAAGAAGGCACAAGAGAACAAGGGGGAAAGTGGGGCCTGGCCCGGAGCTTCGCTCCGCAGTAAAATTGTGTAAGAGGCAACTGAAGCTAAAACTGCAGGTGGATTTTCCGTGTGAGCTGGTGCGTTCTGCAGCGTGACAGGCTCAGTGATAGCACGGCTAGTCCACTAGTTTTAGGTGAGTCACATAGACTCCTTATGTCCCTGGAGCCAGCCCCACACAGTGTAAACCTTGTTCCGAGTTGTCTTCTGACACAGTAGTCACAGAACTAGTTGATATTCCTGATATCAGAAGTGAGAACTGGTGACAATAATATGCTTCCCATTTACTGATGATTCATGTGACAGGCACTGTGGTAAGAAGCACTTCGCTAGCCTCTAAATCTCTGCTCCTTACTCAGCCTTTTGTAAGGAGAGTGTGGCAGCCCCATTTATGGATGAGGATTTTACACAGTCAGGAAACTTGAGACGCAGAAAGATGCAGGCACCCAGGAAGAAGCAGAGCCAGGAGACTAACCCCGTCCAGGCCTTTCCTACACTGTCTAGAACAAATTTGGATCAGGAGCTATGATTGGATGTCATGACGTCAGAAATATGCGTCCAGGAGGACCAGCGATACTGGCGCATAGCAACGAGCGTCTCTTGAGTCCCAGTGGCTTCGGTGCTGCTCTGAGCACTTGGTGTTTATCATCTTACCAAACCCTCAAGACAGCCCATGTTGTAGAAGGGCTATAGCTATGATCCCCATTTTCCTGATGAGGAAACTGAGGCCACAGAGGTTAAATACCGCATACGGGCCACACAGTTCGTCAGTGACCGAGCCTTCAGATTGGCACCCCGATGCCTGACACGAACTCACACTCCCACCTCGGCTCAGGGTAGCAGGGCGCCTGCAGCCTCGAGGGCTCAGGAACCTCAGACCGGGCTCCCCTTCTCCAGCCACCTAAGTGCTGAGCACACAGCCCTTCCCCACACTGCACTTTGAGTCACTTTCCCAGTTAGGCTTCTCTCGTTTTTTTGAATCATCACTGAAAATCAGCGAGGCTCTGAAGTGAGGCCTGTGGGGTCCTCACCTTTCTTTGACTTCAGGGACTCAGGTGTTTGAAAGCGCTTCGTTCCTTTCCAGAGAAAAGCTCTGATATGTGGCATATAGAATTTCCAGAACCCTCTTGGTATTTCCAATTGATTTTACATCACCTTTGTTATTCCTTACTTGTCACTTTTCTTACCAGTCATACAGTAGCTATGGAGAAATTCCCAGCCAGGCACGGCGTCCCTAGGTGACCCTAACCACGCTTTCTCCTGTATGAAATGGGAGGACTGCCCAGACTTGACATTGGTGCTGAAGGCTGAGAGAGCGCCTGTGCAAGGCCCCTGGCACAGCGCTTGGCAGGAGCATATCTGAGGCCCCTCTGCCATGGTTACCCTGCATTAAGACAGTGTCCTCAGAGCGTGAAGGCGGGCGACTCAGGAGCCCACCTGCCCAGATGTGAATACAGGCTCCTCAGGTGCTAGTTCTCTGACCTTGAGCAGGTTGCTAAACTTTCCCTATTGAATTACTTTGACCTCTTTATCACAAATCAGTTGACTCTATATGTGTGGGTCTCCTAGATTCTGTGTGTCCTCCATTGATGTATTAATATATGTTATGCTAACTCCACATTGCCTTAAAATCAGGTCATAGGAGTCCCCCAACTGTGTTGTTCTTTTTAAAAAATAGTTTGGCTCTTCTAAGTCATTTACATTTCTATGTAAATACTAGAGTCCATTTGTCAACTTCTAGAAATAAAAGCCTTCTGGATTTTGAGTGGGGTTACATTTGAATCTATATATAAATCAGCTTTGGGAGAATCAACATCTGAACAATAATTGAATCTTCCAATCCATGAATATGTTGTAATTTCTATTTATTTAGGTCTTTTTCAATTTTAGCATTGCTTTTCACTTTTCAGTTTATAGATATGCACATATTTAATCTATTATAAGGCTTTTGTTTTTTTAATTGCGTTTTCTAGGTGTTCATTGCTAGTTTGTAGAAATAAAGTTGATTACGTGACCTTGTACCTTGTGACCTTGCAAAATTCACTTATGATTCTAGTAGCTTTTTTGTTTATTTGTTAGGATTTTCCACATACACAGTCATATCACCTCTAAATAAAGACAGTTTTACTTCCTTTCGAGTTTTTGTGCCTTTCCCCCTTGCCTTCCTGCGCCGACTAGGACCTTCAGGACAGTGTTGGAAGGTGAGCGTGGACCTCGGTCCCTGTTCCACATGTTAGCAGTAGGCTTTTCATGGATCAGGTTGAGGAACTTTTCTTTTCTTCCTGTTTGCTGAGAGTTTTTGGCATAAATGGATGTTGAATTTTGTCAGGTACCCTTCCTGCATCTCTGGCGGTGACTATTTGTTATTTCTCCTAATTCTGTTAATATGGTAAAATAAATTGATTTTTCTGTGTAAACCAACCTTGCATTCCTAGGAAACCTGGAGTTTCCATGTTTTTTTAAGATTTTTATTTGTGTTAAAGATTTTTATGTTTATGTGGAATATTGGATTGTCTTTAATATTTTTGTCTGGTTTTGATATCAAGGTAATGCTAGCCTTCTAAAATGAACTTGGAAGTGTTCCTGTTTTCTTAAGTACTTTATGTAGAATTGTTTCTTGATTAAATCTTTGATTTAATTCCCAAGTGAGGCCACATGGGCCTGGAATTTTCTTAACAGGAAATTATTTAATTATGAATAATTTCCTGCTAAAATGTATTCAGTAAATTTATTCAATTTATTTCCAGATATGGAGCTATTTAAATTTTCTAATTCTTCGTGTGTCCATTTCAATAATTTGTGTCTTTAAAGTAATTTATCATTTTGTTTCAGATGTCAAATGTATTGGCATAAAGTCATTGATGCTTCCATATTCTTTTAATGGTTAAAGGATCTGTTGAAATGTCCTTTGTCATTCCTGATAATTTGTGTCTTTTCCTTTTTCTCCTTCTAACTAGAAGTTTATCAGTTGTGTTGCTCTATTCAAAACCCAGCTTTTGATTTCACTGATTTTTTTTTTTTCTTCTCTCTGTTTTGTTTCATTGATTTCTGTTTTTTATTATGTTCTTCAGTTGGGTCGTCGGGAAAGTCATGACATATTTTTCTATGTTTTTCAATGCAAAAATGTGTCAGGACTTTCCCAACGACCCAATACTTTTCTTTTGGATTAATTTGCTCTTTTTCTAGCTTGTTAAGGAGGAAGCTTGAACATTGAAATTGTACCATTCTTCTTTTCCAAAATGAGCATTTGAAGTTATAAATCGCCCTCAATATTCCAGCTGCATCCCACACATTCTGACACGTTGTGTTTTTATTTTCATTTAGTTTCTGTGACTTCTTCTTTGACCTATGAGTTAATTAGTAGTGTGTTGTTTAATTTTCAACTATTAGGGATTTTTCTAGAAATTTTCCTGTTGATTTCTAATTCAGTTATGATCAGAGTACATATCCTTTCTGATTCTAATAATTTTAAAATATATTTATGCTTATTTTAAGGTCTACCATCTGGTCAGTTTGGGTGACTATCCACATGCACCTGGAAAAGGTGTGTCCTGTTGTTGTGGTGCAGCTCCTGTCAGTGGTTGGGTGCTGTTCAGAGTGTCCACAGACTTACTGGTTTTCTGTTTGTTCTGTCACTTCCTGAGAGAGCAGTGAGGAAGTCTCAAATTGTGCATTTATCTATTTCTCCTTTCAGTTATGTTTTTACTAGTTTGAATTTATGCATATATTTCTGATTATTACACCTCTTAATGGAGTGACTTGTTTGTTATGAAATGCCCCTCTGTCCCTGGTAACAACACTCTTTGTTCTGAAATCTCCTTAGTCTGATGTCAATATAATCCGCTCCCACATCCATGGTATTACAATACATATCTTACTTTTTTAACATACCTGTGTGTTTATATTTAAAAAGGATTTTTTGTAGCCAGCATATAGTTGGGTCTTGCTTTTTAAATTCAGTCTGATAATCTTTTAATTGGAATGTTTAGACCAGTTACATTTAATGTAATTATTTATATGGTGGATTTAAGTTTACTGCCTTGCTGTTCTCTCTTTGTTTTGTATTTGCTTTTTCGTTCTTTCCCCCCTCCTTTTCTGCCTTCTTTGGTTTAATTGGGTATTGTCATGATTTCATTTTATCACCTCCATTGTTTGAGTAGCTATCCCAGAGCCCTCTCACCTCCAGAGCTCTCTCCACCCCATGCCTTCCAGCGGCCTCTGCTTCTCTGCCTCCTTCTCCCTGTGAGCCGCGTGCTCTGATTGGAACCCCTACCCTGCTTGGTCCAGCCCGAACCTAGGCAGAAACCCCGGGTGGTGGTAGGACTCACCTTGTTTGTTCTCTTTCCCAGGAGCCACAGTTCTGTATTTATTATTTTTGTATATTTTGCCCAGTTTTTTGTTTAGTGTTAGGGTGAATCTCCCTGTTAGTCCCCATGACCAGAAGTAGAAGTCTGGATTTAGGCTTATCATCTGATGCTCTCTCCTCATATGCTTCTGTAACGGGACTGACCGTGCAGCAAGCGTGCAGCCATTAGAGGACCCTGGTTGGGTCAGTCCAGTGGTCCCTGCACCTTCCCAGGGACATGGTGTTGAGCCAGCTGTTGTGCTGGGCTTCACGTCAGGCCACCTGGTTTGGGAATGTAGCTGTGCTGCATGCATTGTGAGAACTTGGGGCAGCCACCTCCCTACCTAACCTTTTTATAAACCTGGGAGTCTGGGGTTAGAAGAGTTTATGATCTGGCCGTCCCAAACTTCTTAGAATCAGTCTTAGTATTAATCATTATCTACCGTGGTAAGTGATGATGAATAAACAAGGGAACGTAAGTATATGCCACAGATTCCAAAGTACTGCAAGTCCAAGGGAGACAAGGGAGAGGTAATAGGTGGTTCTGTTGATTAAAGTAAAACAAAATCTTTAACAGGACTTCATTCTCCTTATTTCCTACTTATTTCCTCTGTCGTTTCTCATTTCCCTTTTGATTGCTCCTTGGGTTTGAGCCAGAGGAAGAGATAAGCCACTCCCCAGAAAGTACAGGCATTGACTCTAAGACCCCATTTAATTGCATGCATGTCAGTTGTTAGTAATTAATGGCCTTTTCAGTTGGCATTTCATGCCATTCTCGGTTCTCCACTTAAGGCCCCAGTCCTCTGGAACCTGTTTCTTCCAAAGAAGATACGTCAGAAGTGTGGTGTAGTGGAGAGCGAGGGGCTCAGTTACACTGCTCCAGCTCGGTGACACCAGAGATGCTATTTAATTCCAGGGAAAGCTGCACCCATTGTCAGGGTTGTGTACAAGAAGCCTGCAGAGACCTTAAGTGTCTAGTGCTCTGAACTCGGTGCTTCCGCTTCATTTTCCTGACTGCCCTCTGACGCGCCACCGTCGTTATTCTTCAGTTATCCTGGGAATGTCCAGTGTCAGGGACTTACACCATTTTCACGTGGACCCACAGATCTGCCCTCCAGACCTTTATATGTTTTAGGAAAATAACGGGTGGAGGATGGCCATTTCAGATAATACAGAAAAAAAGCCAGGAAAGAAGTGGCCTCCTCTATCAGGTGACAGGAGAGCGGCAGGCAGAACTTGTTTAAGGAAACAGAGGAAATATTGGAATTTTGGTCTACCAAAATTATTTTATTACTATTAGTGACAGTGACAGCTACCTCTTGGTGCATGCGTACTGTATGCTAAGCACTGCGGAGTTTTTCCCATTCTTTACCCCTCAGAGGAGAGCCTGATGCTCACACGGGTTCTCAGTGACCTGTCCAGTGGCGCGTGGTCAGGGAACAGTGGGAATTGAACCCAGGCTCTAATGCCAAAGGCTGCACTCCTAACCACTGCCCTGCGCCAGCTCTGTGCCACAGACGGGGCCAGGTGCTCCTGCACGAGGCCAGTCTCAGTGTGACCTTGGGCGTATCATTTCCCCCTCATCTTAAAACGGGGTTGTGCCGGGCGATTCGAACCCCTTCCCATTCTCATTTCTTGTTCTGTAGCAGCCTCTCTTAAATGTTTCAGGCTGAGGAAAAGGCAGATGCACTGAATAAGGAGCTGCTTATGACCAAACAGAAGTTGATCGATGCAGAAGAGGAGAAAAGGCGGCTGGAAGAAGAGTCAGCTCAGGTAAGGGGCACCCCCCACCCCATGTCCGTGTGTCCTGCAGATGCTTGGCAGTTGGGAGGTCCGCGGGAGGCTTCCTGCTGGCACTGGAGAGCCTGGAGACAGCTGGCTTCAGTGTCTCTCCAGAGGCCTTTTTTATTTACTGTGTGAAGTATAATGATTCTTAATAATTAAAGCGTAGGAGGAGACGAGGGGCAAAGCCCACCTTTCATTGGGGCAGGAGAAACTCCTGTGTGCAGCATCTGAATGTGACAGAATAGGGTTAGCATTTCTGCTACAGGAAAGCAGATATCCTGAAATGTCTGTCTCTTCCCCTACCTGTCCGCTGACGTTTCCCGCACAGAGCAAACTCTGGAAGGCCTGTCCGGAGCCAGCTCTCTGGTCACTGGGGCCCAGACCTGCAGCCACAGAAGAGCTTTGGTTGCTTTGGAGCGCGCATACACCACCCCCCACCCTCCCCTCCCCTCCCTGGTTTTTCGTAAACATAACACCCTCTGGTCTCAGCAGGGCCTGGGGTGAGATGACAAACCTGCGACACTGAGGAGGCCGCAGTCGTCCGCTTCGCTCCTCAGCCTGCGGGGTTTGTGCAGCTTCCCGAGCTCAGGCTCAGGCTGGGCTGCCCCGGCAGGGAGGAAGTCAGCAACAGCCCCAATCTGAAGTGGGGTTTGGTGTTTGGGGAAGCTTTGACTGTTCCCTCCCTCTCCTGGCATCAAGGTGAGGTTAGTACTGCCGAGAGCGAAGGCAGCAGGAGATGAACCAGCACCTTCCCAAGTTAGGCCAGGCGCTTCATGGGAACCCAGCAGCAGGCAGTTCGTGCCGGAGCTTCCGTCCTGTTTCCCTTAAACATTCCCTTCTGCTTTCTTCATCTGTGCAGCTAAAGGAAATGTGTCGGCGGGAACTTGACAAGGCAGAATCTGAGATTAAAAAAAACAGTTCCATCATCGGTGACTACAAGCAGGTGGGTCCGTGCAGCCTGGAATTGGGCCGTGTTCTCTGGATGCCTTGCTTGCCTGGATGAAATGTGTCCCTGCTACACCCCAACGCTTCCCCGTCTGCCACCAGCACTGCCTAGTCACTTCACTGCGCTGGACAGGTTACCTTGCTGATCCTCAGCTGTAAAATCTGGGAAATAATTGCTGCCTCGGGGAACCGCTGTGAGGAGTCCTTAGGTCATGCTGGCAGAGCGTCAGCACATGCCCAGCATAGCAGTGGGCACTTAAGGACTGAACACACCCTGCTCTTGGGAGCCTGTCAGACTTGAGTTACGGCCTGTGTCACGTGTGGTCTGGGGTAGACCAGCTTTCTCCCTGGCTGGTTGCATTTTAAGAACATAACTAAATTGTCCCTTCCTATACTGGGATCTCACACTGGCTCAAGAGCCTGGCAGGTATTTATAAACCACTGGCCCTTGAATGTGGCACTGATAGGTCCCTGTAAGCCCCAGCCAGTACCTGGAGAGGTGGCACAGACAGGGACCTGTGCCCGTCAGCAGCTCGCATCCCCTCCCAAGCAGTGGCAGTGTGTTAGGGGCCGACTTCCTTCCGCCTAGCATAGTCAGGTGCCACTATAGAATTCGTCCCCAGCCCTAAAGATGCAGATGGTGACGTTGTCGTTTGACATTATGTTTGTTTCTTTAGATTTGTTCTCAGTTGAGTGAAAGATTGGAGAAGCAGCAGACAGCTAATAAAGTGGAAATTGAGAAAATTCGGGTAAGTCTTCCCTTTACCAAAGACATTTTATACCAGCAAGCTCAGTCTGTGGCTAATTTACTGGGGGTAATTTACTGGATCTCAGAAGTGAGAGGCGGACAGGTACCTGATGGGGTGCCCATCACTGCCTGACTCAGTAACTGACAACGGATAATGCGCCTGTTTCCTCTGGAAGGGAGTACAAATGAGACCGAGAGATCTCTGGCTTTAGATCTCAAAATACAAGCGTCCCTTGTCCTTATAAATTTGTATAATATCCTCCTCTGGCTTTACTGTAAAAAAGCAAAGCAAGGGCCACACAATCCCCAGGGGACGTCAGTGGGAAGTGAGTGCTGTGAGCGCGGATTTGGACCCAGGTGGTGGGGGTCGGAGGTCAGGACCAGGTGGTGTGATTTGTCACTTCCCACCTTGTTGTGTAGAATGGGGACACCCCCTCTGAGCTCAGTTCCTTCTGCTGTCATAACAGATCCAAGTACCACGGTGAGGACTTGAATTTTTAATGTGGCGTTGCCAGCTTGGGAGCTCTTGTAACTAGGTGCTTGCTTTCTTTAAACTGTGTACCTGTATTAGAGTGCTTGTCACATTTTACTGAGATGAGTAATTTCCTGAAAGATGCTTTTCTAACATATTTACAACTCAGTGGACAGGAATGTGGGTGAATTCTGTGCTCGGCCATGTTTGCACAAAACATTTTACCTGGAGCAAGATAATACCCAGCCCCCATCAAAAGTACTGTTTAACTAGCAGTATCTATTTTTAAAATATAATTTATTTTGTGATTCTAAAACTGAAAGTCATTGCAGAAAATGTGAATAAGAAAAAACCCTAATAAGCTGCCTACCTACAGATAATACCATTAACACTGGTGTCTAGTCTTTCATTCTCTGCTCTGTTTAACATACAGAATTTCATTTGTTCTAAGATAGCATTTTTTTCATAGTCACATCTCTGAAATTCAGACATGTTCTATAACTGATGGCTTTTTGTGGTTTAATTGGCAGAATATTTTCTTAGAAGAAAAAAAATGATGTTTCTTAGAGTCATCGTACTTGGATGAAATACGGTATATATTTGTAACCATACTGTATATACATTTTTCTGTCTTAGTTCATTCAGCATTTAACCATTTTACCTCAAAAACTTTTCAGACGCTGCTTACACAATATATTGAATTTCTCCCAGGTGTTGGATGGCTTATCCCTTCCCTTTTTTTCCTTATTTCTAATTCTGCAGTGGAAATCTTTGTGCATAAATCTTTTATCTAGTCACTGCTTCTTCATTGTTTTAGCTGAGGTTCCCAGACATGAGCTTACCGGATTAAGACGTAAGAATATTTTTCTTGCTTTCAGTATGTAATACCAGGTGGCTTTTCCAATAGGCTCTCTGCCAGTTTACAAAGAGAACGTAGATTTTCAGAAGCTGTAGTGCTCAACTGAGAAACCTTCTCTTGGCCCCCAGCAAGGAGAGATGCTCACACCGTCCTAACGGACCAGTTTCCCCTTTGTCTCTTCACACCTGACATTCCATTTCAGCAAAAAGTGGATGACTGTGAGCGCTGCCGGGAATTTTTCAGCAAAGAAGGACGTGTGAAGGGCATCAGCTCAGCTAAGGACGTTTTAGACGAGGACACAGATGAAGAGAAGGAGACGCTCAAGAACCAGCTGAGAGAGATGGAACTCGAACTGGCACAGACCAAGCTGCAGTTGGTGGAAGCTGAGTGTAAGATACAGGTAACAGCATGGCCTCCAGGACCCGCATGTGAGGGGTTGCCCGGCGTGGGCTGGAGGCCCAGGCCTGATCTCGGCGGCTTGGGATTCTTTTCCCTTTTAAACTTTAACCATAATCCCCATAGGCAGAAGCCCATAAGTGGTTATTTACCAATGGATGTTTAATTAGTATTTGGCCTTTCCTATGGATTGGACTTTCTCGTAATAAGAATTATCATCAAGCTTGGAATCTTTTTGGTGGAGCAGAGAACACATGCTCTGAAATCCCAACTGCACCATCAAACTCTTTGACCTGGGGCTAGTCAGTAACCTCTTTACACTTGAGGCTTCTCCTCTGCAGTGGAGACGACTATCTGGAGAGTTTGCCCTGGGGACTAAAGATAATGCACAGAAAGGGTTTAGCCCAGTGTCTGAGGACTGCATACATGCCTGCTTGCACGTCCCAGCTCTGATCACCTAACTAGCATTGTGACTTTGGACACACTATCTAGTTGATCTGATCCTGCATTCCTGATGGAGTTGGGGCTTGTTTTGTTCATCTTCACACTGCAGAGCTGGTTCCATCAGCACCAAGACTGAGCACAGGTAGGCAGTAAGCACTGTTTGAGGATGGAACCAGGTTCAGGACTAAAGCTCAGGTCTGGGTCTCCTACATCTCACACGTTCACTGGGCATCTGACCGCCAGGCCGTTCTAGGTGCTGGGGCTGCAAAGCTTAAGACACAACTGTGATGGTCCAGGACTGTCAGGAAAGGCGTCGCCAAGGCAGCAGCACCTGAGCTGTGGTCAGAATGAATGGGTTTGCAGGTACAGAAGAGGAAGAACAGGGAGCGTTCCTGGTGGGGCGGGGAGGGTAGGGGGAGAGGGGTGGCATGCTGGGCACAGGGAAGAGAGGGCTTGCCCAGCGAGGAGCATCAGGAAGCGGGGCAGTGGGTGCCGAGCCGGGAGAGCCTGTGGGCTCACACCAACGCCTCTCAAATGCCTTGCTAGGGAGGCTCTGCTTTCCAGGTTCCTGCAGGAAGTCAGCGATGCAGCCTTAGCTAGAGCATGTGCAGTGGGTGGGGTTGGGCCAGAGAGAGAGAGATGCTCATTCAGGAGGCGGTTATGAAGACTAGGCAAGAAATGAGGTCTTAGCTAGCAAAGATCCCGCAGCTTTAGCCAGTCCAGACCTTTCTATGCCAGTTTGAGACTGGAGGAGGGGCCCAGAGGCCTCTCAAGAGGAAACACTGAATTCTGGTCTTGGCTCAGCTCTGGGGAAGCATCGCCATTGACACGAGCCAGCATCCTCACGTCCCTTGTCCCTCTTGCAGGACTTGGAGCACCATTTGGGCCTTGCCCTAAACGAGGTGCAGGCAGCCAAGAAGACATGGTTTAACCGCACGCTGAGCTCCATAAAGACGGCAACCGGGGTGCAAGGGAAAGAGACTTGCTGAGAGAGCAGCCGCTGCCTGCAGACACCTTCAGAAAACACAACACCTTTTGTTGCCTTCTTTGGCCAGATGTGTGATTCTGTGACATGTCCCAGGACCAGAATGTACCTAAGTCAGATTCATAGAAGCATATTGGTAGGTCATTGGACCAGAGCCCATGAAGCAGGCGGCCTCTGGGGGAAGGCTCTAACTACTGACACTAACAGGCTCGCTAGCCCAACAGCTGCTCTGGACACACTCGACAAAATCACTCCTGGGGTGCCCTCCAGGCCTCTCCCATGTGGGTCAGCACCTCACCCAGAGTGGCGGGATCCTTCCAGGCTGTTGGTTTTTTTCTAAACCTTTAATCTTTTTTTAAATATACATATTATATATATATATATATATACACACACACACACACACACACACACACATATACATATATATGCGTGTATATATAATACACGCATATATATGTATATATATATTGGGGCGGGGTGGGCAGGGGATCCTTAACTCAAATACTTATGTTTCAGTGCCAGCAGGGGGTCCTCCAGGTAGACATGGAGAAGCACTTTGTTTTAAGTAGGAGGGTTTCATGGTTGTCATTGAAGCCACCTAGTTTTGTTAAACTATATGATGCACAGGTTTTTGGTTTGACATTATTCACGTTTCTGATCAATTCTATGCAACTCTCATAGTTCCTGTTGTTTTTTAGTGTTAGCTGCCAAAATGACTTCACAGGGCTGGGGTGGGTGACTCGACTGACGGTGAGACTGGAGCCATCATCACATGGACAAATCTTATTTTGCTCAATGTGTTGTGTGCGCATGTGTGTGTGTGTGTCGTGTGTGTGTGTGTGTGCATGTGCGTGCGTGCATACGCGTGTGTGTAAATATCTTTCCCAAATGCCCCCAAATAATAGTGTTGAACCCACACCAGGGTTGGGGCTTATCTGGGCACTTAATTTCACTCAAGGCTTGTTGGGCTCTGCTCTCCTCCTGCCCTTACGAGCTGTGAAGAGCCCCCTCACTTCGGGACGCCTGGTGTTTTGCACAACAGGTTGTCTGCATGAGGAAGACAGCGGGGTGGGGTGTGTACATGTGTGTGTGTGTAGGACGCACATGCCGGGGCCCCTTCCTGCTGGCCTGGGCCCCCCTGGAGTGTGGCTGGCTGCACGTTCTTACTCCAAAACCATGAAATGGGGGTTTTAGCACCTTTTAAAAAAAAATAACTTCGCCTTTTAATTTATATGGGGATATGCTGACAGGCTGTCTGGCAGATGGTGTCGCCGTCTTCTCCGTGTGCAGGGTGGAGGCAGCTGGTCATGGAGGCACTGGCTTGTATATAAACACTCGGGTTGTTTCAGATCTTTTTCCATTGGCTGTACTGACACTTGCTGAGGTCGTCTGTGATAAGGGAGGTAACAAGTGGCAACCCCTTACTACCCACACCATCCCCCAACCACTTTGTGTCTTTCTTGTTCAGTTTCCAAACCAGCTGTAAGCCCATCTAAAACGAGGTGTGTGGGCATTGTGCTAGGGTCGTTTCAGTGTGTTAACTTTATGAACTGAAATATAAACCAGTAAAAATTGTATTACTATTTCTTCTGTTGGTTTTGTTTTAACAGCATATTCATTAAATATTTTGTTACAAACAACATTGCTTGTAAAAGCCAGTTTTCTCATGATGGGCTCCTGCCCCCTCCCAGGGTGCGCTCTGATCAGCGTGCGAGCACCTCCACCCATCCAGGCACTCAGCAAGGCCCGATGCAGTGAGACAACATGGGCCTTGTCCCCTGCCTTCCTCGTGAGCTTTATTCCTCTGAGAAATAAAGTTCTGCAGCCGCAGCAGAGAGGCACTCTGTGTGTTTTGAGGTTTAGGGAAATCTCATAGAAGAAGTAAGGGTATATAGTTAAGCCTTAAAAGATAAAAGGATCTCACCAGGCAGAGAAGGGAGAGGGAAATCAGCCCCAAATTTGAATGTGTGGGGGAAACAGGTGGGGAGCAGAAAGGCCATCCCAGTGCCTGGGGTCCAGGAATGCTCGGCTAACACTTTCCCAAGTGGTGGCATGCACAGATCCGTCCTTTGGAAAGTTCCTTTCTGTTCACTGGTCCTCCCAGACCCCTGCTCCATCAGGGCGAGGCTCCTCGACCCTCTGCCCCCCTTCACCACCTCGCCCCCTTCTCTGCAGCAGGAAGAAGAGCAGTGCTTCCCTACCCCTACGGTTCCCCCCTCTTCTCGACCTGCCCTCCAGGACCCCCGCTACGCCCAGCCTGTGGATGGAAGCGGGGTGAGATACGGGCCACGAAGAAGGAAGGTGGTGAGTGAGCCCCACCCTGAAGCTGGCCCAAAGGGTCTCGGTCGAGGCAGGGGCTCAAGAGCACAGTGGGGTCCCCATTCCTAGCGAGCCAGGGCAAGAGTCCAGAAGGACAACCTTTTCTAGGCTTTTCCAGTCCCAAGGGGACTTGGCAGAAGTGCTCACCCGGCAGCTGTCTGCTCCGGCCCAGGGAAAGGGGTCCACATACAGTCAGCCTTGGCACACGAGCCGAACGTGACTCAGACGGGGTCCTGCCTGGGGCGCTCCCCTAGTTATGCGGAGACCCAGATTAACAGTCATAATTGCAACTGTACACTAAGGGTTGTGACAGGCATGTGACGTCCTGTGGGGACTGGGAGGGCCCGTGTAACTGCGAGGGAGACAAAGCGGTAGTGACAGTTTTTCACACTGATGACTAAGGCATTTGCTGGATACAGAAGCAAGACAACGTTTTGTGGAAAAAACGCTGTTAGCACTGTGGTCTGACTGAGGCCGAGTGATGGGGATGAGACTGGGTGAGCAGGATGAGGCCATCCAGGCCAAGGAGCTTGAAGGGCGAGAGGAACCACTGGAGTTCTAAGCCAATTTGGGGAGCTTCCTTGTTAATCCTTTAGGAAAGATTTGGAAGAAATTTGGAGTCTGAGGAGAGGCGATATAGCATAGGGGGGCCAGATTTGAGAAAAATCCCTGGTGAGTCAGTGCAGCTTGGTGAGAGAAAGGGGAGGAAACACCAGGAGGGACAATCGAGCTTTGAACGTATGGATTTGAGATCATCGGGGAAATAAGAGGCTGGAGGTGTCCAACCTACACTCAGCAATTGTGCGGCCATCTCCACCAGAGGGTGTCAGGTCCTTGACACTATTAATAATTCTTTGTCGTGGGGACTGTCCTGTGCAATATAGCTTTTAGCAGCATCCCTGGCCTGTACTAGATGTCAGCAGCATACCCCACCACCGATTGTCAACAACCAAAAATGTCTCCAGATAATGCCAAATGTTCCTGGATCGGAGGTGGACACCCTAGTTGAGAACCTCTGCCCTGGCATGTAAGCTGAAGCTAGGAGAGTGGGTAAGACTGCCCAGGGCATGTACAGGTTAAGCAGGGGCTAGATGGAGGCCCAGCAACTGCCATTCACGGGGGAAGAGACGGCATGGAGCAGGAAAGGAGGCTCAGGACACCCGGACGGGAGGAGGAGCGAGGTTACCTCAGGGTGAGGGCAGGACCCGACCCAAAGGCTCCTGGGTCTGGTGACTGGGCAGTTGCTGGTGCTCAGGGTGGGGCGCAGTGGGTTGAGGAGGGAGGGAGGAAGCAGAGACAAGCAAGTGTGGATTTTAAGCCTGGCTGGGAAGGGAAGTGGCGGGGTCGGGGATTGGAGGGACCCCTGGAAGGAGCAGCTTATGGCTTCACACTGGGAAACTCAGATCCTGGCTGCTCCCAAGGTAAGTGGAAATACATGGCAGGCTGAGGGGACTGTCTGGCGGGCCCTGTTGAAACTGAGCTGATCTTAGGCCTTGTTAATAACTCTCAGGGGGAAAGGAGACAGCTCCGAGTGGAAACGAGGCATCTGCCTAAAAGCCCCCCAGGACTGCTAATCAAGTCCCAGTGGCGAAGTGCAGTGAGACGAGTGGAGAACAGAGAAATCCACGGGAGCTGAAAATAAGCCCAGACCACCACTCCCAGCTCTGAACTGACCCAACGGCTGAGAAAACCCGAGTTGATCCAGGGGAGTGAGTAGGTGCTAGGAGTCTGTATCGTCCTCTGCTGGATGTTTCAAGGCTCCTAGTGCCTCGGCGCTCAGAGCTGTGCCTGGTTCTGACTTTGGGATTCAGCTCTTCCGATTCACTGGGGGTGGGAAGCAGGGAGACACACACAACAGCCGAGGCACTCGCTCCAGAGCGGCACACTTCGGTCTAAGTTCTCTACCCTTCCCCCATTTTATAGGTGAAGAAACTGGGCCATAGAGAGGTTCCTGGTCCAGGCAACGCGGCTAGGATGCTACCCCACGTCTCTAACTCCCAGGGAGCAGCTGGGCCGCTGCTAAGATACTGTGTGGGCAGCAGGTGGGTATAAGCTCTCCCAGCACTTCACTACAGGTAGCACACCTCACGCGGGCACGTCCCCTTACCTGTGCAGCGGGCCCTGTGCCTGCCGCCTAGGGTTGCTCAGCTACTTACTGTCAAGCGCTGGGCTCGTCTCACATGCTGTTCTCCCTCCAGCTGTCAGAACACCCTCTAAGTTAAATGCTGTTATTCTCAGATTTGAAAGTAAAGATGAAAGGCTTGTGATCCTGTGATCACAACAGCTGGGATTTCGATCTTTTCTACCAGGTACCACCAGCTCTTCCAGGGCCCAAGAGCAAGAAAGCCTGGCTCCCCACCGAAGGCCGGCCTGGCCACGGGGACAGGAGTAGCAGTGGGCCGCCGCTTGTAAATCCAGACTGATGGCGTGCAGGGAGAGGGCGGGCCCTGGGTTATGAAATGAGGCAGAAACACCCGTGCCTTTGCCCACAGCTCTCGGCTTATCTGGAGGGTGGCACTCTGGTCCAGGGCTCCAAGGACACAGCCTGACGAGAGACGAGCAGTGGGAAGAGCTGAGCTTTGGATTCCAGCTGCTGCTGCCATTTGGAAGCGCTGTTCCCTGGGCATGGCCTTAGAACCCCGGTCTGTGATGCCCACGCAGGGAACAGGTGCGAGGATTGAGTGAGGTGTGTGAACAGCACCTGGTCAGCACCCATCGCTCACCACTCACTGTGCTGGGTTCAAGTTGCAGCTTGTGTCAAGTTTTTGCACCGTTAGCAGAGAGGACCATAAACAGGAATTAGGACTTGGCCCCTCATCCCTTTGCATAAAGGCAAGATCCTGCCACGTATACCGAGCCAGAGAGTCATAAGTGCCAGGAAAGGGGTCGTGCATTTGACCTCTTTCATCGGTCAGAGCCTTCATGTAACTAGAGCAGGTCCTGCAGAGAACAGTTCAGCCCAGTGCTGCTTAAGACAGAAGCTTTTATTTTTATTCATCCAAATGGGGAAAATGCAACATGTCAGGGCATTACAGACAAACTGCAGCAGCCAGACAAGAGGCTCAGTCTATGGCAGAGTCCAACAGTCAGTGCGAAGGCGCCCGGTGCGGGCGCTGCCTGTGGGGGTCGGGGTGGCACAGAGTCCCTGTGGATGAAGGCCAGGCATCATCTCTGGGCGAGGCACTGGTGACAGTCCACACGTGCAGGCTGCTGCTTCAGCCACGCCGAAGGTTTCAAGTTCAGTCTCCATGAAATTGCCCGAGAGGAAGGACAATACATGGTGGTCGCAGTTTCCAAAGTTTTTTAACATAATACACAACAGTTATTGCCAAGGACTTTGCACTGCAAATTATACTATTTACACTTGCGTATTCAGAAAAACACAGTAAATAGATACAGATAGATATTTTAAATAGATTTCTAAAAACTACCTTGGCCATCACCAAACCAGAGTGAGTAAGCTACAGCCAGGAGTCCAATGCCGAATGCAAAACCGTGCAGTAGGGAACTAGACTCAGTCTGCTCCAGGCCACCGTCTCCAACAGCCCAAGGCTTTGGTGCTAGACGGGCGGCCTCCCGCCCTCCCTCCCAGGCAGAGCTCTGCTTGCAGTGGGTGAGAAGCAAGTCTCACAGACCCCTCTCTGGGAATCTTAGGCAGTGGGGAGATGATGCATGTGGGGGCTGTGAGGCTCACAGGCTGGACCCAGCCCCTGACCTGGCCCATCCTGCCAAGAGCACCCTTGGGACCAGTGCCCTCACCTCAAGAGACCTGTCTTCTGAAGATGTAGCTGGGCCCCCAACCAGCCACTTAAGAGACCAAAGGTATAGGCCCGCAGGTAGGTCCCTGGGGAAAGGCCTGAGTTCAAAGATCCTTTGGGGGGAAACAAGACGAGCACTGCTAGAAGCCTAGAAGCTGACGTCTGCCCAAGGAAGGTGGCTCAGGGCTCATTAGAAGACGAGAGGGCCAAGCATTCACTTCCCCCTCAAGGCCCTGCAAAGGTGGTCTGTCTGGAGGGAGGGTGGAGACAGCGCACAAGGCAGCCAGGGGGCCATGGCTCCTGGGAAGTGCAGAGGGAAGGCCCTGCCTAGGGCCTGAGGACGCCTGCAGTGTGGCTCCCAGTGGAGTTTCTAGAGCTAAGCCACCTCCCACGAAACCACGGCAGGTAACTGAGCGGGACCACACAGGGCTAGTGCATGAGAGGCGGTCAGGAGAAGGGATGTTTGTGATGGTGGCACATCAGGGAACCAGGTCACACCACTGTGTGGGCTGTCATCTCCACCTCGGGTTGGGGCCACAGCACGGGGAGTCGGTGAGATCTGCTCAAGGGAACCCGGAGAGGGGCGCGAACGCGCCAGGGAAACAAGCGTTCCTGGACCACGGGGTCTTGCCACTGACCCGCCAGACCGAACTCCCCAAGCCCTCGGGGTGTTTGGGAGGAGCAGAGCCCGCCCGGAAGACGGGGAAGAGGCGGACACTTAAGAGTCAACTTTCTGAATCACAAGTGGAGAAGGGACTACTTAAAGGCAGTCTCCTCCTTACCTGAAACGCCTAGGTCTATCCTTCATTCACTTCCATGAACGACGAGAAAAAGCAGCTGACTTCCCAGAACAGCAGCAATATTTAGGTTAGAGTGAAAAAAAAAAAAGAGCTTCCTGACCACCATCTGTTTCCCCCAGCAGGAACATGAGACAGATGGCATCGCGCTGATGACCCCCAAGGGCAAAGGCCTTGGGCTTCAGAGGTGACGATGGTACCTGACTGACAGGGAGCCCCTGTGAGAACAGGGGCACAGGACGAGGTGTCCCGGCCAGGCCCCTCCACCCGGGCCAGGCATGCCTTTGTCTTTTCTTTCCCACGAGCCCAGAAACGCCTCGAGAAAAACACAAGGAGTGCTCCTTAGACCTCAGACGTTCCTCACCTACTGTCAGACCTTGAGAGCACCCCCCAAAAGAGACAAGACCAGGTGGCAAAAGCCACAAGCCGCATCTCACATGAGTGGGAGCCAGACAGGTGCTGTGCCTCGGAAGCACAGCTGCTCAGGTGACGTCCTTCCCTAACCCTCACCTAGTTCTCAGCAACGACAAGCCAGCTTCACTCAGCAGGCAGCGTCCAGTTCCCTAAGTTCCCAGTGGTCTCTGACCCAGGCACCCTCCCAAGTCCACCGGCCCGACGGCTCAGGGCAGCGCCCAGCACCTAGCCTCCTGACTTGGTCCCCAGAGGACCAGTGCGTGTAGGCCACGTGGACCTGGGTCCCAGTACCTGCTACCAAAGCTGCGATGGGAGAGCCCAGCAGGGAGCTGGGCCATGGGCAGGCGCCGTTCCCCCCTGAGCTGTATATGAGTCTCACCTGCTCCCATGGCCAGATGGGGCTTCAATAAAGCTACCTGTGCAGGCACTCGCAGCACTCGTGTTAGGCCGCCTTTCTCCAGGCCCCACTGGTCCTTCACTGCACACGAAGCACACACCCCTCGCGACTTCCGTTCAGTCAAGGACAGTGTTGGCAGCTCACTGCTGCTCGGTCAGCAGTAGCTCCCATCACCTATACACAACCTCTCAGTGGAAGTACTCTGCCCAACGGCGGGCACGTGCATTAACTGCATCTTACCACATGCTCTGCGGGATGCCTAAGGGCACAGACCATCACCGCTCCTTGTCCAAGGCCTGCCCTGCCACGTGACTCGATCCTGAGCCAGCGTGGGCTTCCCCTGGCACTTTTCACCCTCACACACCAAGGCCCCAGGCCAAAATTAGATTTGAGGCAGAATGTTTCATCTGTCTTGACGTTTTAAATGGCCTTTAGCACAGCAAAAGAAAAGACAGGAAGATTTTGTCAAGCTCTGCATGTTGGAAAGGTGTGGCACTCAGTAGCCCACTAAAGCCAATGGCCAGAAAAACCACGCAACTCTGGGCCTCCTTCCCACGCTAACACCCACAGTAACCAAACCCTTGGCTAAGAAGTCCAGACTAAACAGAAAGGTGCCATTTGTAGCCACAGGCCTGCTCACCCATGACCAGAATGACAGTTTAAAAATGTATCTGTGACCCCTTTACTGGCTCTGCCCACCGAGTGGAGGCCATGCCCCTTGGCCCGGCACTCGGCCCCTCACACAGACTGTGCCCAGCGTGCCTGCTGGGCTGTATACAGGCCTATTCAGCGCACTGTCCCCACCTGGGCCCATTCCTTCTCGAGCTGCCGCCTCCCTCCGGGGCTCTCCTGATTGACCCTCAGCCCTCCCAGGGGCCGCTGTCACCTTGGACTTCCCTGAGCCCTGCTCGCCCAGTGCCACCTCTCACTCCAGACCTAAGGTCCTCAGGGGTGAGACTCACCTGATGCTCAATGCTCACACAGATCAGAGGTTTGGGGAAGATGGATGCGTGGGCGCCAGCTGCAAGTTTCCAGTCAGAATTAAGCCAACGGGTGAGTAATCGCCAGTCTAAGGCAGGGGCTGGCAGAATGTGGCCCAGGACCTGCTTCTGGAAGTAGAATCTGTTGGACCACAGCCAGGCTCTTCCGTTCACGTGCCGTCTGGCTGCTCTCCACTCTAATGGGAGAGCCGTGTGGCTGTGACAGCAAATGGTCCACAGGCCTGAAAGATTTACTGTCGGGCCCCTTACAGAAAGTTTGCCAATACCACCTCTAAGGCAGCGTTCCCACATAGTTCCACACAAAAGGTCACATGGTCTGGCGCCCTGAGGGAAACGGACAAGGCCACTTACACTTAGAGACACCGGGCCCTGGGGTTCTGGCTGCCCCCCAAGGCTGCCGGGATCAGTGTCTCTGCACCTGTGACCTTTCATAGCTCCAGCCTGAAGCTCAAAACCACAGCTGCCTCGTTAGCCCAAGACAGTATAGAAAGTCACCTGACTCGTCCTTGGGTGTCCCTGCCACCTCCCAGGATGAGCCCGAAGTAGCAGGACGGACAGACACACAACTGAGGTCCAAAGCAAATCCTCTAGTGATCATACAATTTCACAGGTCTTTCCCTCCTTCAAGGACTCTGTAAAGCAAGTCTGCACCTTCCCACTAGCTAAAGATTTTACAGGCTTCGCATCAAATGAGCTCAGCCCTTTGCAGATGAAAAACCAAAACATTACCGTCTAAAGAAGCAGAATCTGTATGAACGAACACCCAGTACCTGTCAGCCTTTGGCAACCCCAGCAGAGCGGAACCTCAGGGTCAGATGCTGACCTACCAACCTGTAAACCTATCTACCCGTGGCCAAAAGACACACTTCCCAAGAGCACAAAAAAGGGGCTCACAGAGCCCCCCAAGAGAGTTGGGCCCACCACACCCCCACCTCCTAGACCAGTGGACATAGCCCTTGCTCCACTGCAACTCTTCCTGCCTGGTCAGCACCTCCTCCCTTCCCCGCCTTCCTCATCTTGGTCCCAGGCACCAGCGTCCCCTGAACCGTGGCCCAGGGGAAGGGCTTGCGGAGGCCCCTACTTCCCAGGTGTGGTTCCTTTCCACTCCGTCCCGGAGAAAAGCCTGGCCTGTAAAGACGCCCCATTCCTGCCGCCTTCAGTCAGCCTCCTTCATCCCTCATCTGCCTCCTGCCTCTAATCGTTCCCCGTCCAAATCAACCATCCAGAATGCTCCCCATTTGGGGAGATGGCAGTCACCGAACGGCACAGCACTCAGGGCCTTTCACAAAGTGGCCCCAAACTACACATCCCATCTGCCATGTCACCCTCTAAACCAGACCAGTTTCCATTAGCAAGGACCCTCGTGCTGTCCCAAGAAGGCCACCAGGGCCCCTTCTTGAAACCTCAGCAGCTTCCAGCCCTGAGTGTTGTCCCCCCACCCCCTGCTCTCCACCTTGGTCAGTGGTTTCACCTGCTACTCAGTTGTCTAAGCCGAAAATCGTGACCTTTTCTCTAATTGTTCCTTCTCCCCCAACACATGGCCTGGTAGGCAGTAGTAGGTGACAGGGAATGTTTCCCAAGAAATCCATGTGCCCAAGAAAGGAGAAGTGGCCTTGGCAATGTCGCCAGTCACATCAGCATTCTGTCCAAACTGACATCCCATGGAACTGGCTCTGCACTAGCCAAACACTGCTAACATGGGGTACCCGTCTCCCCACACCTGCCCCAGGCAGCCCAGTTTGCCATCATGGGAGGCACATGTTAGCTCAAATTGCCTGAGTGGCTTGCTGTCACTGTTTTTACTCTTCTGGAGCTCCATGAAACAGGTATATGTAACCCCTAAAGGTCCGTGTTCTCCCCAGGTCTCGGCTTCACCAGCCTCAGTCCATCTCATTTTGCAGTGCTTTCGGCTTTCCTGAGTTCTTCAGGTGCCACCTGGCAGCGGGTTTTCACCTCTCAGATGATGTCCACCATGCTTTCCTTAATGTAGCCTCCACAGGCATGAGGGCTGTGGGGAAGGTGAGCAGCTTGAGACTTATCTACATCATGGAAGGGTCCAATGAGATCTCAGCATCAGAGCACCAGGGGAAACGTCACTGTGAGCTGACCCGTTTGGTTAGAGCACATAATGAAAGCCTAGCCAGGTAGGGGTGACAGCCAACCACCACAACGTGGGTGAAGCTGAACACAGAAAGCATATGCCTCCCTCTCCGTCCAGCCCCTGGGGTCTCCCCAGGGCCAATTACTGGTTTGCACTTGGCCCTGGGGTCTCCCCAGGGCCAATTACTGGTTTGCACTTGATTACAGGGTTCAGTGACGGTACAAAAGGACAGTCTGTGGAAAGAGACCCAACTGTGCAGCTGACACAAAAAAACAGGCTGCTTGGCCCAAGGCTGACCAGTCAATCGCCTTGTCTGGGAGCAAGAGAACAAACGATTCTTCCAAAGACACCAGAGAAAAGGAGCCTGGTGTCTAGATTCTTTTCTCCCCCATGGGGGGAGAGGGAGGCGAGAGGTGGGTTGGGTTTTGCTTGTTTTGTTTCAAACCAAGAAAGGTAAGTAGAATCCATCAGAGAGAGGAGGAAATATGCAGAGAGGCAGTGGTCTAGACTCAGAAGACAAAGCACCAGTACTGAGCACAGCACTAGCAGAATGGGTGGGCTCGGCCACTTACTGGCTGTATAATTTTGGACAAGTTATTTTTGTCTAAGCCTCCATTTCCTCATCTGTAAAAGGAGAAAATTTCTAGATTCCCACATTTGCGGTGGAGCTCAAATCCCATCCCTAAGAAAGGGCTTCTATTAACTAAAAACAGTAGATGAAATGTTATTTTTTCTATGTGGTTACAAACTCACTAATTAGGAGCCACAATGTTTGCCACAAACAAGCCGGGTGGTTGGGATGCTCGGCTTCAATTCCTTGTCTGTGCAGTGCGAAGAACCACTGATGCTCCTTCTCATGCCTGGCCGGCAGACAGGAGCTGACACGGTGCCCAGGAGCGGGCTTTGCTAAGCGCTGTCTTCTACAAGGCCAGGTACTCGGTCTCCCTCACACACAGATCACTGCTCTAGACCTCGCACGACCTGGGTTCAAAAGAAGGTCCTTTCCTCGGTTTCCCTCCAGGATGATGGCTGGTGGCTCAGGGGGAAAAGCCAGTTGCCAAGGATAACGACGACCTGCGGTGAGGGATTCCAAGGCGGTTCCCACAGGCACCTGCCCCTCAGCAGACACCCAGCTGCCATTCATTGGCAAAGGGGCAGGTGAAGTGGTTTGCAGCAGCAGGGGTCAAAACCATTCAGCAGAGCGACTCACACCAGTAATTCAGAGACCTGCAGCCATCCAAGCGGACTCCTCAAGCACAGCCAGCCTCAGGGCAGGCCTCCTAACCCTGGGCTGGCCACCTTCCCGGAAGGCCCATCTGGGGAAAGTCCTGGCAATCAGAGCAGGCAGCTGCCCCCTCCCCCGCATCTCTGCTTAGCACCACCCCAAACCTGGGCTGCTGCCCTTCCATGCCCCTCTTCCTTTTACCCAGACAGACAAAGCCTCAGCAGCCTTCCTTGGGTCTGGCTCAAATCTACGACACCCCCATCACCAACCTCAGGCCAGAGCGTGTACTCAGAAAGCATTAGCTAAATGAAAACACCTCCATTTCCCACTGATACTCAAACAGAAAAACAAGCTCCAAATACAAAAGCTTCCTCTGTTCATACAGCCACACCTTAGTCCTCCAGTCTATCTTGTTAGTTTGTTAAACAATCTTTTTCAATTGGTCTGAAAGAAAACAGCCCTATTTTAGGCCCGGATATCTGCTCTAAAACGACCTCAAGACAGAGCCCAGACGGCAGCTCAGGCATTTAGGACGGGTGTCTAAGCCTGTGACCTCAGAAGACCATGTAAGGCCCCTGGCTGGGGGCGCTCAGGCTGTCACTCGGCCTCGCCCCTGCCCCTGCCGGCATACCTCCTTCCTGCATGCGGCCCGGGTGCCCCTAACCTTCATCCCCAGACTTGTCCACAGCATGGGGTAGTAGAAAGGGGCTTTGGCACCGAACAGAGCTGGGCTTCGTTCTTGACTCTAGCATTTAACTCTAAGCCTCACTTTTCATCTGTAAAATAAGTGATACCACCTCCAGAGGTTGGGTGAAAATTAAGAAGAATGTCCAAGTGCTTGGGACACACAAGATACCAGTTTTGGCATCTTCCCTCTTTCCTTTCTTCCACTCCTGCTTCTTCAATCTGCTGCACACAGCCCAGAGTGACCTAAACTGAAGGCTACTGTTAATTACCTGGGACGTTTAGCTGACATTTTAATGGAGAGACCGTTCATCCAAACCATACAAAAGGATCAGGGGAGGAGAAGCTGAAAGCAGAGAGACTGGGCAGTGCTAGGAGAACTTCCTCACAGCAGCCAGGCTAATCCTGTTACCTCCTCAGCCCGTCAGCAGCACAAGAGAAGATTCAGCCCACACAGCTGAGCGAGGATATGCTGATCAGACTTGCTTAGGCTGCCTGGGCAGGTGGTGGCAATCTCCCCACTACCCACCAGCAGGCGGCACAGTTTGCAGAAACGGAGAAGTTCTGCCAAGAAAGACCAAGAGCCTCCTTAGAAAGACCAAGTAATTAAGATACTGACAGCTGATTGGTCAAGGAAAAAAGGCCCGCCCTCAACCTTGGCTCAATGAGGCAATGATTTCACCCAACAGCCACAGCTGAGGGATGGAGTAACTTCTGCCAGGTCACCAGTTATACAAATAACTCGTAGGTTTAAGAAAAGCCTCTTGACTATGACGCAAATCTATCTTACTTGCCTTTCAAGGTTAACACTCAGTCCTTGTCCACGCACTTTTTATAACCTTAGAGCAACACAGAACTCCATCTGTCTTCTCCACTTAGCTCATCTACCGACAGACAGGGACGGTACCTCTCACCTTTCTTCAGAGGCTCCTGATGTCTGACACATGCTAGCAGAGATGGACAGGAAGATGTATATCCTTTATTCAATCCAATAGCGTAGATTTCACCATCTACCCACTTTTCCTTTTGCTGAAGAGCAACTTACCAACTGTGTCTAGACAGACAGATAAATGGATAGATGGACAGAGAGACAGACTGATAGAAAGGAGGCCTCATGTGGTGATGAATGCAAATTTAAGTGTTGAAGCAACCTTGGAAGAGAGAAGCTGCTAGAATGCTCCTCAGAGAAGCGTCTGAGTTTGCAGACCTCTAAGCATGCCACCCAGTCTCCTCTTTCTTTTCTGTGGTTTCTAATAACTTGCTTTCTACCTGCCAGACACAGGTGAGCTCTGAGTGTTAGATTCCAGGGCTAGCTGTAGTCAAACACACACTTTTTTCTTAGTGCCCTGGTAGGAAACTTGGAATCAGCATACTCTAAGCTCAGCCGTTTCAAAGTTTGAAGCACACTCAAATCCCAAAGCAAGTGTATGTTATGAACCCCTGGCAGCAGACTGGCCAATGGCGTCACCACCACAGCAGAAAGGCAGGCATTTTCTCTCAGCATGGCCCTGCAGTGACTCCATACCAAGTGTTTGTGTTTCCTGTCTAACCCCCAGATGCTAGGTCAGGCCTCTCCCAAAGCCTGGGAGCACCCCAAACCTGTCAGCACTAAGGGACCACTGCAGCTGCCCAACGAGCAAGCCACACACCTGCTTCTCAGCTACCTGCCAGCACAGCCCTGCCGCCCTCACGTGCTCGCTCTTGGTCACCTCAGTGGCTATGGTAAGAACAGTGAACAGGTCCTAAGCACAAAGCACTTCAGTGTATTAGCTCATCTAATTCCCAAGCCCCACGGGAATTTGCTGGAGGGAGAGAAATTCTTTGGCCCAGATTCCCACATGGTTTCTATTCCCTATTTCTAGCTGTGCTGGAAAGCTTACATAACCTAATTTGCATTATGGTGCTATTTTTAAAAATCTCCAAAGATCACTGCTTCGAGCATCAATGGAAGCTGTTAGCTCCTACCTAAAATGATAATGTGGGAAAGGATATCTATTCTTACAACTAACTCAACTTGAATTCTTGACTTAAAACTGTCTTTCTGGAAGATGCTATTAGGAAAGGAAGGGACTCATATAAGAAGCACTAGCTCTATGCTCTGTAAATAACTGCTAGCAAGAAACACATCAATATTGAAACTCACCTCAGCAGGATAGTTTCTTGGCAGACACTTGCAGGCCTCCTGGTAACACTGAGAAATCTATGGTCACTTGGTAACATGGCATCAGATCATTTATATAATACGAGTTTGGAAAAAACACCGCCCTTCTTGTTCTGATGACTTCAGACAGACCCCCACCCCCACCCCCACCCCCACCAAGGAGGCAAGGGCTTCAGCTCAATAGGAAGACCGTTCACAGAGCAGGTTGTTTCAGCTTTAACTGTTCCTAATGTCCCCAGTCTTTCTGGCTCTAGATTGCTAGGGAACCTCCTTAGTTCATTCCCCTAACTCACTGTGGAAAATTTACCTCCACTGCAGTTATTAACGAGAGCTAAGAAACAGGGAAGTTACAATGGATGACTGATTATAAGGAAAAATTCCTCTTATTTGTCATAAAAAAAAACTGTGGTCAATATTTAAATGATCCGGTTTGTTCTTTGCTATACTATAAAAACTGATGTAAAAGGACTCGGGTATGTGTTATTCATTTCATTCAGTTCACTTACTTGGAGAGCTGTCCATGAACATAAACCAGAGTTGGTTTCGGGCTGTCGAAACTGCCAGGGACATATTTAAAATGAGTGAATTTCCAAATGATGCCCATTTCAGTTGATGTCAGAGGGCCATATTATTAAATAATTTATAAATAAACTTAAATAATTCTCTTTTGACACTGCTAATGCATTATTTGCCTCCCAAACCAGGATATTTATGATAGGCCTGATTCCACCAACGAGGAGAGTCTGACTTAAAGTGCTTCCACTGGGCACAGCCTGTTTTGCTAATGCCCAGAGGAGGACCTGCAACGTAACGGGCACTCGGCTGTTTCATCAGGGCTGGAATGTGCTTGGGACTAGTCAGCTAGACCTCATACAACCTTTTGTGGATGCCAAAGCCACATTCGACATACATACAGATTCTGTATGGGAAAGAAAGTTGTTCCAGCAACCTTCAAAGTTAGTAATAAAAAGAAAACTGCTACTTAGAGACAAATATAAAACATAAAATTCATTTTAATCTCTATATATAAAACACAGCCTTAGCACAGAACATCTAACACATATGAAATGCATTTATGGGACACACTAAACGAAGGAAATCCTTATTAAAATATTTGGCCTAACCCTCACATCTTTTAAATGAACTCCATGATGGTTAAGTAAGGTGGGAAATAAAGTCATCTAGCTACCTAACCTAGAAAAGACAGGTGAATTGCCTTAAGTCTATTTGGTCTCTGCAGACTGGGTCTCTACCATTCTGAGTGTGGCCAAAGTTGGTTCTGCAAATAGTTAGCTTAACTCAGTCAATTATATATTTTTCCATAGTTACCTTAATATTTTGGTTTTTTTTGTTTTCTATTGCTTTTTTTTTTTTATGGCTTCTTGCTGCTGTTGTATTAGGGCATACAACACAGATCAGAGATTTTCATTTCTCAGAGAAGCTTCTCTCCTTGAGAAATTGGCACTTCGATCCCCAGCTTGTATAACAGCTACATGTAAATGGGTCCCGTCCCACCAGCACTGCTGCCAATCTTACTGCTCATGAAATTCCAGCACTTTGGCCAAAAGAGTGCCTTGACATTAAACCTTCTTAGGTGAACTCTTTCCACCACTGGATTCTTTTATTTAAACGGGTACGTGTGTGGGGTTCACATATATGTTCTATCACAAGTTTCTACACACATACACACACTTAACTCAGCAAAAGTGAAGTCTCTCTCAAATAGAAAGTAATCACAAGGATATTAAAACAAATGCTGAAAATAATTATTTTACATTTAGATCACAAAAATTTTTAAGGTAAAGTGATGACATAAGACCTAAGAGATCAAATACATCATATATGATTGTCATATATGCATGTTGTGTTCATTGATTTTTAATTACTTTTCTCTTTAATCAGAAAATAAAAGAGCTTACCTTTGAATACTGAGACCACAGCTTACAGCCACTATATCTCAGCCTATTTTATACAAGTGATATGGCTACGAAGGTCCGAGGAGAACGAGAATAAAGTGAGATAAACGTGCTGAAAACTGCTTAAAAGTATTAACCTGAAATACACAGAGGGTCCAACACCAGTTTTAAAAATACATTAACGAGGTATTTCCAGCTCTTCAGTTAATAATGGTGACTGACTGATTCATGATTTTCAAACATTCACCCAAATTAAAAAAAAAAAAAAAGGCTAATACCAGCAAAATCTATGTGTTTCGCTCCCCAGGTTAACAATTTGAGAGGCTCCAAAGGACTCCAGGGCCCCTCACCTCCCGGCACCACGCTCTGCATCTAGTCAGCATGAGGTATGTTGGGAATCTATTGGACCAATTATCTTGCACAAGAGATGGGGAGCTCCTGAAGCCTGAACAGCCCAGGCTGCAGGCCACATCCCTGGCTAGGCGCCAGCTCCCGTGCAAAGAATATGGCTTCAAGGAGGACCCCTATCTCTGAGAAATTATAGTAGCGCTAACTGACGCAGTCAAGAATGCAACTATTCAATTTATGTGCTAAAAAAGTTTAAAAACTGTCAGAAGATAGCTTAACTCACACACTAATTCTAAGTTCTACATTGATTGGTCTGTAAACTCCCTGACAAGAGACAACGCTGGGAGGGGTTAAGTACAGATATTGCTAAGTTTCCAAAGGAAAAGTTTGAAAACAGACACCGTGGCTTTGAGGAAAGTATTGCTCTTCTTTAAAATGTTCAGTCATTGCTTTCCAAAGAAGGTGTCAGAGTGGTGGATCTGAAAGCTGGAAAGCCTCAGGGGGTCACATTGCTCTTAAGACCAAGACACAGAAATTGCCATTTCAAGCCAGACAACCTGATGGTTCTAGAAGTCAGAGAAGAAATCTTGAGGGCCCAAGTGAATAATAAATGGTGCGACGCTCAGAGGCTGGCAATAGGGGCTGTCAATGAAAAAACCACCTACAGTGGAGAAAAGAGCAGAGAAGCAAAACTTTATGTTAATTTCACAGAATTTGGTGAAGCCAAGAGCTTCATTTATATTTCTCTGCTCTTTCAGCTGTAAGTGGAATTTTCATTATAAAATGGAGGGGTGGGAAGGGCAAAAGGTGTGGGGGGGACACTTAATTCATTACAAAATTTAAACAGTTGAACTTGCATGGTTACCACTTCTAACAAAGGATTGACAGCTCAATTATTTTAAGTAAAGCAGAGAAATGTAAAAGTTTGCAGCAACTGGGCAGGTTTACAACATGGTTAGTAACTTCCAACAAACAACAAAATAAAAAAAAAAAAGGACTTGGTAGAAACCATTTGAAAGGACTGCCATCATGTTGGAAAACAGCACAGCTCCTTTTCCGCCATTGTGGAGGGGTTGAGTTACAAAGCTGAGTCAGCTACTTCAAAAGATTTTTCTGAAGAGAATCTCCAGAGAGATTCCAACTTGGAATGCAAATTTGACAATCAATTTCAAATAACAATACAGCTGCAGCTGCCAATTAATAGTATTCCAAAAACAAAGAGGACTATTATAAATATTGAATTAATAAAAACTGGACACTACCAGCCATGCTTTTTCTTCTCAGTGATGGCTCTGTTTCATCCATAGGTCAGCAAAACGAATCAATGAAACATGAAAACTCCCAGCTGAAATGGGCCCTCTTGTTTATGTCTAGCCACTAATGCACAGGATGAGAATGGTAAGTTCACAGCTATTTCTAGCAAGTGATGAGGTTTTATTAAAGTATCACCCACCACTAATAAAGACAAAAAGTCAAGGAGCAGAAGTAACCAACAAACCATTGTGTAATAAGTATACATTTGAGAAGTGACGCTAACATTTGTTTTAAATTGCCCATTTCACTTTTGTTTAGTGGTCCCAAAGAAATCTGATACATAAATTTGCCGTACTGTGTGTAGCCCATTCTCACTGATGGGCAGTGTTCAGCTCCGAAAAACAGAATTCAAAAGGGAAGAGGAAACCTAATTCATACTAAAAAGGGGCATTTTTAAGACACGGCAACTTGTAAATACCGACATGGGACCACACACTGTTGCCTTCATGGGGGTGAGTACCTTAATGAAACCATTACCTTCTAGTAACATCATAGGCTTTCCAAACAAGGTGAGAATGCACGTGGAGGACTCAGGTCTGCACCCTTTCCAGAACAGCACCATGTTACCGACCGGTTGTTTTCACCAGCTTAACCGGTGTCTTAGGGATAACTGCTGACCCATGGCTGAAACCTGTCGCTTTTCACAGCAGCACTCCACAAGAACTGGGACAATCGAAGAGCAAGTTTCATGGGGACCCTGTTGCTGCTTTCGATTCTGATGTGATTGAAGAGGAAAAGAGGACCCTTCAGTGAATCCCGGAAACACTGCTAACCTTCTATCTTGTGAAAAAGCCAGGGAGTGAACACAGTACCTTACAGAGTGAAGAAGGCCACAAGAACAGGAGAGGGTGATTGATCGATTAATTTATTATTTTGTAAAACTTGGAAATTCGGAAACTAGAATAATCACATTCCTCCTTTCCCATCTGGGGTAGTGCCATCATTTGAATAAGCAATGCTCTGGTGACAGACTAGACCTTGGTCATGGGGCGGCCCTTGCACAGCAGGAGCACAAAGGGCTTACAGAATAAGCAGACTGCTCCGCCTAACGACCACCTTTGTTTTAGCAGTTTGCTTACAAATGAATGGGGTTTCTAGGGCTAAGTTATTATTAGTTTTCAATTCCTTGTAATTTGATACCAAAACATATCAAAAATAATAAGCTAAAACAATATTCAAACCCATATTTTATTGGCTTTAATTACACACTGCAATATTTACAAAGTTAAAGTTTAAATGAAAAGTGTCTATTGTATTAAAAAAAATAACTACAGCCCGAATTAAAGTGCCCTGGGGCAAATACATGTCAATCAGCTAAGAATCAGTGACTGCGTCAGGAACCAGGCAGTACTCTGTGTTACAACAAAGCAGTTTATTTGTGATCAGTGTTTGAGACTCTATACATCCTTCACAAATTTAATTTTACATAATCTGATACTCTTAAACTTTGAACTGCTAGACTTATTTCCCTACAGCAGAAGGGCTGGTATAAGTTATTTTCCGGAAATGAGGTACCGTTTCACAGAACTAGTTTCTTTTTTTTGTTTTGTTTTCAAGTTTTAGAGAACTAAATTTGCATTTGTTAAAATCAAAAAGTAGGAAAGATGTTCTTTACAAATAATTTTGATCAAGTATGTGTTCAAAGAAAGCAGGATAAAAAGGCTTTTTCTCTAACATTCTGTATTGTACTGTATTGTTGTTCAATAGGAATTAGCTTCTGTCATTTGCTAAAAGAATGAGTAGTGGGGAACAGGATATGTTGGGAATTTCATAACGGGTAACAGAACCATTCTCTTGGGTAAACCTACAGAGAAAAGAAACGGAGAGGACTCCAAATAAGTTTGATATTCCAATAAAAATTTCAGGTAAAAAAATATCTTACAATAATTATCATTAACCTTTTCCAGATTAGTCAGTCAACATGTACCGTTCTGGAAGAGGCCCACAAATCTCTCACGGGCCTCCAATTGTGAAATTGCTCTTAATATTTTGATAATATTTTCCACTCAAAATTAAGATGGCTACATCACAGGAAGAATGCTGTTCAGAAAGCAATTTCATATGAGTGAGCTGCCATGAATTCTAAAGATCAAAAGCAATGCTATTGATTAATTTTCCAAAGTGACTCTAGAAATCCATATCGGTTTTCAGTTTGGCCCATGGCTATTACAGGAAAAACGGGGTCCAAAGCACAGCTTTGTATTCAGGCCTGAGCTCCCCAGCAGGACGGCTCTACGAGTAGCCGGACCAGGTGCGCACGTGGGAATGGCTGCTGCCAACATTGGCATGGCAAATCTGGAAAGATTAATTCCTGCCTTAATTTTGTAATTAATGAGTTCTTGTGGCCTCACCGACTTCTGCATACTCGAGCATGATTTGAAATCTGCTCCTAGTTCTGCTCTAATCTCTAACCTATGGAGAAATCATAAAGCAGCAACAGCAGGTACTCAGAGCACCAGATGACCGGAGGGAACTACCCCACATGCAACAGCTTTACAGAGGCCAAAAGACATATTTACCTTACAGCCAAAATAAAGCATCGTTTTTAGTAGGTTGGCATCACAGTAACATTTAAAAACCAAATCTTTTATGTGAAAAATGGGGGCATCCAATTTCACCAGCTTTGGAAGTCAGTTATATGGCACATGGAAGAGAGGAACCTTCTGAAGTGGGGCTCAGAGGCCGCAGGGTGAAAGTGTAATGTTAGAGGAAAGGGAGGAGCGAGAGAGAAAAACTAAAAAGGACTGAGGGAAAACGTGAATGGAGCTTACAGCCTGGATATAAAAGTGTGTTAAAGGGAAAAACAAAGTTCTAGCAAACCTGCACAAAGAACGTGCGACTTACTGTACCTCAAAGAATCACACAGACTGCAGGCCCTGCCCAAGGGAAAGGTGCTTGGCACTCCCAGGGACATCTTACAGTGAGTCAGTCAGTGAGTCAAGGGCACCTGGATACACTGACCAGACCTATTCACAGGAAGGGTGAGCAGGGTGCCCAGGAGCAGGCTGCGTGGTTAAAGGCACATGGCCAAATCAAAAGGAGCTCGACCATGTGAATTTAGAAGAAATCCTGGGTGAGAGCATTCTCTGGAATGAGTGCCCAACTCTCAGTCACCCCGTATCTGAGAACATGTGGAATGTGGAGAGCCCTGCCCACCCAGAGTGCCTGAGGAGACATGCAGGCGGAGGACGCAGCTCCAGCCCCTGCACTGGGCCTCAGAGAAAACTCACCCCAAATACTGACGCTAGCAGCTTCTCACATCCTTCCAGGATATAAACTGCCTATCTTAACGGGTAAAGTGGTCTAACTGTTCACTTTCTACTTATTTCTACAGTTATGAAATCAGATGAAGCTTTAATTTAGCAGTGTCTGAAGGACACATAATTTTCATCCAAACAAAAATGGAAAAGCTGATGCATGGAGAGGAAAAGCAGAATGAAAGGGCTTGCGGCTTCCGCAGAGGACCAACGCCCCCGGCAGCCGAGGCAGGGGCTCCCTTCTGTGCACGTGCATGCCGGCCGGGCGCACTGGCGCACACACACTCGCGCACGCTCTCTCACAGGCGCACACACGTGCTCGCCTCCCTCAGCGACAAACATCCTGCACGTGGCTGATTCTATAGCGTGTAGCACCTGAGTTAGGAAAATGTCTGAGAGAGCATATCACTGACTCCAAACCTATTGCCTCCATTGCCACATAAACCTCATTCAAAAGTTATCCAAAGGGCCACTGAGGTTCATCTCTGCATTTGCTTTTATTTTTTATTTTTGGAGGGAGAGGAGCCACTCCTGTGATTTTCTAACACGTACTACAGACTTTCTGCAGTAAAGGTTAAGTCACACTGCTGGCGATAGCCCCTAGCACTTCTCTAGGGCCCATTCACTCCACCTCTAAAGCAAAATTTATGGAAGAGGGTGATGGCTACAAATTTGAAGTGAGCATTTCCTATCCCTAACTGAAATCATCCACAGTTCACACAGTTTCAAACCAGAAACTTCTATGGAACTGTGTAACTGGCGGGCAGCCAAGCTAGAAACTGCGCATGGCCCTTCAGTAGCCTTTGAATGGAGTGTAAGTTGGCTGTAAGAACTACTGAAAATACTTAAGTCCAGTATGGTCAGAAACAGGCAGTTAGAACAAGCAGTCCTTCAATCAGGCAAAGCGGGGAGAAGAGCAACTCCAACCAAACCAAGAACCACAAGGTTGTGGCATTTTCAAAGGAAATTGAAGTTGGGTCACTAGAATGACTAGGTCTGAGATCCTCCAATTCATTTAAAGACACCCTAGATACACACTGTGCTTGGGATTGCTGTGACAGAGTCACTAACAGGAGAAACCAGTAAGAGGCTGTACATACCATAAGCAGGGGCAGCTGTGCTGTAACCATATGGTGTTCCATAACCTAGTGCAAAGAAGAAGACAGCAGGTCAGTCCAGGACACAGGGCAGCTGGCACTGGCCCAGTTCACAAGTACCACCAGCCCCGGGACCTTGGGCCCTGAGGATTTCTTCCAGACGCGGATGAACGGGAACGTTCCCAGAAAGGCTCGGCCTACTGATCCCCTGGGCCTGTAGAGCGGAGTGGAAGCCTTCTGCCCTGACCTACCAGAACAGCCTGGGTCTGTGTCTCATGACACTGGTCACACTGTATTGTAATTACCAACTCCCGTCTGTGTTCCCCACTAGAGTGGCAGAGACCAAGTCTTGCACATCTTCGCATCACCTGACCCCAGCAGAATGTCTGGCATATAGTAACCACTTGCTAGATATAATTTGTTGGACAAAAGAATACTTAGAAACTACTCAAATTACCAATTTCTCAAAACTGGAAAATAGAAGTTTTTAAGTCTCTCTTCAGAAAGCAGTGACAAAGCAGGCTGAAGCCTTAACTGCCACTCACGAGGGCGCATGGATCAGGCTGTGGACCTGAGGCCAGGTCCATGTCTTGTTGGTATGTGAATCCCTAGCCCCAGCATAGCGTCTCTCAGTAAATACTGGGAAATCGACATTAGCATCCATCAATGTCAATAAAAATGGCTCATATTGTCAATAAAAATAAATACAAAGAACAGAAGATTTTGAACCAGTTAGTTCTGGCACAAGTTTCTCACATGTTCTGAGACGTATAACTCCTGAGTTGCCATTTTCTCATCTGTAAAACGGGACACCTTCCAAACTACTTTATAGTGTTGTAGGGATTAGAAATACTATGTTAACAGAAGCTACAATCTTTAATCTTTCAGTAAAACAACTTTAAAAAATATAAATACCAAATCACTTGGGTAAATCTCTAGGAAAAAACTGGTTTCTAAAATAGAACAAGGGCACAAAATCTCCATGGCCCCCCACACTCTACCCAAAACAAAGCAAGTTTTGTTTACATTACAACCCCTTTGTCTATAATCATTTCTCCTGCTCAGAAGTTGTTTTCCTGCTTTTCTAACCAACCAACTGCAACGCATCCTTTAGATCAGACCCAAACACCACATCTCCCACGCTCGCTAGTGGCTCCCCGGTCCACCGGTGCTACAGCTCACATCACACTGCGGGATGTTGACTCAAGTGCCTGTTCCTACTCCATCTGGGCCTGAGCTCTCACTAGGGCAGATGCCAGGTCTTCTTTGAATGCCCAGTTCTTGTTTGAGACAAAACACTCCAATGCATGCTGAACAAGTAAACTGCTTTTAAGGACTAATTTAAACATTTCCTGAAAGATGGAAATTTTTCGCTTTTTAGTCTATACTTAAGTCATACACAGCTGGGGGTAGTACAACTTAGTTTTACTCTTAGTCTTTGATGCTCAGTGGTATACTTCAAGAGGACACAACACAGCTGAAATAAGCAGTAGGGGCAGTGTCAGAGGCCAAAAGAGAAATTAATGCTTAAAAAAGCAAGTTGTACATCAAATCCAGGAAAAGGGAGCTGATTGGCTAAGGCTACAGTTTCAAGGCTTTACCGAAACCTCCTTAGAGAGATGAAACCATTCAGCTGGACACTGAGAGGCGAGCCGCTGGGGCTATCATCCTGACCTCACCTCTCAGTAGCGAGGTGATTCTGAATTGCACCTGTTATTTAACTTCTCTGAACCTCACAGTCTTCTGCAGTAATTGAGTTGGCGGGGAATATAATTAAATAATACATGTAAAAATACTTAACTATAGTGCCTGCTGCACTGAACGCACCCCACAAATGGCATATAACCTATTCATAATGTAAACTGACCCATCTGAATCTTCTCTAGGTTATAAAAGGGCTTCATTTTTAAAAGCTTCAGGAGACAGGCCTTTCAGAGGTCAATGCAATAGCTTCAGAGAGAAACTACTACAGAGCAGACGAGCCTGGCAACAAGCAGACATAAATGGTTCCTTTCACAATAACTGCCACTAGGCGATGGCTGCTTACCCCTCGAGCAGGAGATAAACGTCCTAAGACTATGCAACCACAGACAAAAGTGGATGAAGCCCCAACAGAACACATACTCAAAGGCAAGAAAACTCATCAATAACTTGCCTATTATTGTTCAATGAAAGCTGCTTCCTTTAAATAATGCATTATGTAAGGCAAAAAAATGTACTAAATATCAGTAGAATAGTGAG